ACACACACACACAAGAGGAAGGCCCGCCGCCTAAACATGGGCTGCAAGGCGCGCGGGCAGCCCCGGCCAACCCTTCTCCCACAAGACCGGCCACGGCTACGTCAAGGCGCATCGCGGTTTCTACCACGACGCGATCTTTGTCAAGCGCAACAACTTCAACCTGCTGCTCCACGAGACGTTCGGCGGCGGCTTCTCGCCCACCGCCGTTCTCAAGCTGCGCCGCCTCGCGCGCAAAGTCGCGCGCGGCAGCGTCGACCGCACGGCCTACTCGCCCAAGTACTCGCTCTCTTTTATGTCCCACCATGCAGAGCGCATCTCTCTCTCTGTTGTGCGAGGCGTGAACCGCGCCATTCGCTCTCACCTGGCAACCCTGTCTGCACGTCTCGCGCGCGCGTGAACAGGGCTCCAGGCCCCAAATGACGTGTGAGTGTTAGAGTGGTTTGGTATTGCTAAAAATAGCACACAACACACACACACTGATGCGACAAAACAAACGTGCGAGGAGCGCACCGCCCGCGACAAAAACAAGTACTACACCGTCCGCGGCGGCTACCTGACTGAGTTCTACCCCAAGACGCAAGAGCGTCCCGCTCCCCGAGCCCGAGTCCCTTCCAGCTACCGACGCGATTCTCAATGGCACTTGCAAATCCACGTACCCGCGGCCGCGGGCGCTCTCTGCCATCAAGAATCACAAGGACTGGTTCGCGCACCTGGAGCTCGTCAAGGCGCGGGATGTGCACGTCAAGAACAACCCGTCCCTCGGAGACAGCGCCGTCAACAACCGCGAAGCCACGCGCCTCGTCTCCGCCTCAACGCCTTTCGCCGGCAAGGCCTTCGATGTCCGTGTCGACGGTACGTACGCCACCGCCCTCTCCTCCGACACCCTCCAGGGAGACATGTTGCATGCAGTTTGCAGTCTGTATAGAGAGCATCTGCACCATGCAGACAGACTCTGCACACACAGTGCACTCTTGGGTGGGATTCTGTATTCTGCACCTGCATTGTGCATTCTGTACGACTCTTTTTTGGCCTCTCCTACCTATATTGGGCGAGTTTTTGCATTCTGCATCTGCATCCTGCATCGGTACTCTGTCCGCTCTCTCCTGGCTGTGGGTGAGTTTTTGCATTCCGCATTCTGCATCCTGCATCCTGCACGTCTCTCACAGCTGTAGCATTGGGCCCGCTTCTGCATTCTGCATTCTGCATCCTGCATCGGGTGCAGTTCACAGCTTTGGGCCCGCTTCTGCATTCTGCATCCTGCATCTGCATCCTGCATCGGGTACCAGTTCACAGCTTTGGGCCCGCTTCTGCATTCTGCATTCTGCATCTGCATCCTGCATCGGGTGCAGTTCACAGCTTTGGGGCTGATTCTGCATTCTGCATTCTGCATCTGCATCCTGCATCGGGTACCAGTTCACAGCTTTGGGCCCGCTTCTGCATTCTGCATCCTGCATCTGCATCCTGCATCCTTCGGGTGCAGATCACAGCTTTGGGGCCGATTCTGCATTCTGCATTCTGCATCTGCATCCTGCATCGGGCGCAGTTCACAGCTTTGGGGCCGAAGAGAGGTTAAGCGCCGCTTTTTTGTTCCGCGAATAGGCCGATAAGCCACACGATTAAAGATCCCATCCGTCGAAACGCGCCGCGCTCCCCACAGACTCGCCACCGCTCACGGTTTTCATAAAAGTACAACACATATAAGTCCGTTCCGGACATCAGGATTTAATCTGCGCTCCTTTTTCGCATGGACAAGTCTGCGGCTATGATAGTTCGCCAGAGCTCACACGCTGTTCCCTAGGCCCTGCCGGGGGCTGCTGTGTGCGAAACCCGGGCCGCGTCGCGCCGTTGGCGCTCCTCAGGAGGTGATCGTGCGTAATCTGCGCTCGAGAGTAACTTATCGTGCCATATCTCTGCCTTTTGTGCCCGGGCACCACACATGACATCATGCAGGATGCAGAGGAAGAATGCAGAATGCAGAATCAGCCCCAAAGCTGTGTCTGAACTGCACCCGATGCAGGATGCAGATGCAGAATGCAGAATGCAGAATCGGGCCCAAAGCCGGATGACGGACAAACTCTTTGGGTCTGATTTTGCATCCTGCATCCTGCATCCATTTTGGGGCCGATTCTGCATCCTACATGCTGCATGCTGTGCATGCTGCACATACAGAGTAAACATTTTGGGCTGGGTTCTGCATTCTGCATTCTGCATCTGCATTCTGCATTTTCAGAGAAATACGGATGTAGAATCAGCCCGTCTATGCAGAGGCTAATCCATGCAGACTGCAAACTGCATGCAACAAGAGTGCCTCCAGGACGAGCTCCAGCGGAAGCTCGGCCTTTGGCTCTCCGCGGCGCTTCGGGTCGCGCTCGAGCGGGGCATGCCAGTCGATTTCTTCGGCGACTACCTTTACAACAAGGCCCACCACCGGCGGCCCCACGACGGCGTCCTCGCCGCCTGGGCGGACGCGATGCGCGCCCCGGCCAACGCGCCGGTCGTGCACGGTGACGAGGAGAAACCAGAGCTCACCCGGCAGTACAACGAGGGGTACAAGACTGACCTCGCAGACGACGTGGCCAACCCCCAGCACAGGTGTCTGAGAGATGCTCGCACGGTCTCTGGCATTGGCTACGCCATATTCTCGCGCCACCGCCCACCCCACGTACGGCTGTGTGAGCAGCTCCCGGCGGGACCTCGAGGGACTGCACGCGCGCCAGCGCGGCGCGGGGCCCAGCCCACAACCACGATCGTTCACAAGAGAACGCACCCCCCAGAGTACGAGAGACCCTTCCCCATGGTTGCCACTGCGCCAGCTGCCCTTGCGCGCGGGCTAGGCCGCCTCCCGCGCCTTGGCCCTTGCAGCGGCAACTGACGCGCGCTTCGCCTTGGCTGCGGCGAGCGCCGCCTCTGCCGCCGCTACTGCCGCCTCGGCCGCCTCCTCCTCCTCCTCCTCCGCTGTGGCCGCCTCCTCCTCCTCTGCCGCTGCCACAGCCGCAGCCTCCGCCTCAGCCTGCCGGCGCGCCTCCGCTGCCGCCTCCGCTGCCGCCTCCTCGCCCCCCTCCTCGCCCTCCTCCTCGCCCTCCTCCTCGGCTGCCTCCGCCGTCTCCTCCTCGCCCTCCTCCTCGCTCGCCTCGCCCGCCGCCTCTCCCAGCGCCTCCGCCAATCCCTCGACCGACGTCTCCGGCGTGATGCCGAACCGGATCCTGTCCTCGTGGAGCTCCGCGAGAAGCTTGAGCAGCCCCTCCCTGTCCAACGGCGCGGGCTTGGCTGCGGCTGCCTCTGCCGGCGCGTCGGACTCCTGCGACGGCCCAGCGCCGCCGCTCCCACCGCCCTTCTTCTTCTTCTTCTTGCCCTTCTTGCCCTTGGCGCGCTTCTCCGCCTCGACCTCCGCCAGCAGCTCCTCGGCGTGCTGCGCCGCCTCCGCCTCCGCCGCCGCCCGCTCCGCCTCCCTCTCCGCCGCCCCCGCAGCCCACGCCGCCTCCTTCGCCGCCTTCTCGGCCGCCACCTCGGCCGCCGCATGCTCCTCGAGGGCGCGCACGCACTCGGCGTGGCCCCCCTCCTTGGCAAACTGCAGCGCTGTGTGTCCACTCGCCGTGCGCAGCTTCGTGTCGGCGCCCGCCCGCAGCAAGCGGAGCAGGGCGGCGGGGCGGCCGTTGACGGCGGCCCAAATCAGTGCGGTGTCGCCGACGCTGTTCTGCAGGTCGATCTCCGCGCCATGCCGGATCAGGATGTCGACAATCCGCTCGTAGCCTTTGTAGGCGGCGTTTATCAACGCAGTGCTGCCATTGCTGTTCTTCTGGTCGATCTCCGCGCCGTGCCGCAATGCCAGCTCGACCAGCTTCTTGTGGCCGTTCACGGCGGCAAGACCCAGCGCAGTGCTGCCGTTGCTGGTCTGCAACGATATATCTGCACCGCGCCGCAGAAGCGCCTCGGCCAGCCCCGCGTGGCCATCGACCATTGCGAGCATCAGCAGCGTCATGCCGCTCGCACGAGAGCCGTCACCAAAGGTGTACTCGAAGGTCTCGTCGACCCGCCCGCCGCCGTCGAGCCACACCAGCACCGGAAATCCGTCGCCTCGCTCAGCCGCAAGCACGACTTCCTCTGGCACCGCCCCGCTGCTCGGCTCGGCCTCCGCGCCCTCGCCGCTCGAAGCAGAGGCCGCGGCACTGGCGCCCGCCTCCGCCTCGCCTGCGGGTGCGCCGCCCGCCCCTGCGCCGCCCGTCTCGGCCGATGGCGCCTTGCTGCGCGCCGCCGCCACCTCCCCGAGATACGTCCTGAAAGCCTCGACGCACTCGGTGTGGCCCTCCTCCTTGGCAATCTGTAGCGCCGTCGCACCGTCCTCGTCGCGCAGCTTCATGTCTGCGCCCGCCCGCAGCAAGCGAAGCACCACGGCGGGATGGTTGAAGAGGGCGGCCATCATCAGCGCGGTGCTACCGTTGCTGTTCTGCAGATTGATCCGTGCGCCGTGCCGCAGCAGCATCTCGGCCACCTGCTGGTGGCCCTTGGCGGCGGCGGCCATCAGCGCCGTATAGCCTTCGCCATCGCGCGAGTCCGCCTCCGCGCAGCGCTTCAGCAGCACTTTGACCAGCTGCTTGTGACCGTGTTCGGCGGCGATCAGCAGGAGCGTACAGCCACTCACACCGCGACACACGCACGTCGCGTCAACCCGCCCATCCCCGGCGAGCCACGTCTGCACCACGCCCACCTTGCCGTTCTCCGCCGCCGCCTCGATCCTTTTCGGCAGCACGAGCGGCGCAGCAGTAGCCGCCGTTGAAGCGTGCCCGCGCCGGGAGGCGGCCGAGCCAGCCTTCGTCCGCCCGGGCATGCAAAGGGCGGAGTCTGGGCGTCCTGCGCCGGGCGACTTGTCCCCGGGCTTCGAAAAATGCAGCCTTCTATCTAGATAGACAGCCGCAAGCGCGCTACCTATGACCGGTAAACGTCTCCACACACACAAAGTGGTGGGGCAAGGGGGGGCGACCCTCGCATCTCCACGCCCGGGACACGGGCAGGAGCCCCACGGCATTCAAAGTGCAAGCACCGGCCTATATAGGCACCAGCCCGGTGCCGTGGGTGAGTGAGCAACCTGCACCCCACTCCCTCCCTCCCAGACACAACCCGCACACAACCCCCACAGCGTGGTCCTTCAGGTACTGCTCCCAGTAGTCATAAGCCACGCCTGTGGGTCGTCGGGGTGGGGGATGCGTCAAGGACGCATTTGCTCAGCCCTCGTGCTGTCGTGCGGAGCTGCTGCGGCTGCCGTCCATGAAGCAGTGGAGCGGACCGACGGGCAAGTCGTACGCGCCACCGCTGCGCACGGGCTCGATCGCTCCCGAGTAGTCGCACTTGTCCCTCTGCGTGAGCGCGAGAGTAACCCCAAGAGGGCTGAAGATGAGCGGTGCGCGCAGGGGTCGGCGTGGAGGGCGAGGAACGCGCCGCGCGGGGCGTCGCCTCACCGGCCCTCGCCAACGCCTCAAAAGTGGCGCAGAGTGAGGCGGCGCCCCGAGCGAGCACGTGAGCCCCGTGGCTCCAACCGGGCCCTTCTTTTTTTGAGCAGGTGTGCCGCCGCGCGAGCGACGCTCCGAGATCGCCCGAGATAGCGCGGCGCGGCGGTGGGTGGGGTGGGGTGGGGTGGAGGGGGGAGCGGCGTGGCGTGGAGCTGCGCGAGATTGCCCGAGATCACGCGGCGCGACCCGAGATCGCTCGAGATCGCGCGGGTGTGCGGCGCCTCGGCATATCTCGGACTCGGCGAGGTGGATGGGTTTGAAGCGAGGGGGCGGAAGTGTTCAGTGCGGTAGAGATCGGTCAGTCGGTGTGCGCGAGAGGTGGCCTGAGCTGTGAGCCATCCGGCTTACATACACCCTGCGTTCTCGTCGAGCGTTCTCGCACATGGAGTGCGAGGTAGCCGTTCTGTTGCCATCCCAAACTGTCACTCCCCTTTCTCCCGGCCGGGGTGGGGCGCGTGCGGTGTGCGGGGGCGGCGGGTGTGCGGGATGTCCGTGGGCCCGAGAGCGATGTGCCATGTCCGCCTTGCGTTTGTTTCATAACATCGAAGGCTAGCTCACCAAAAACAAACGATGCCGGCGTGCTTCCCGAGGTTGCCGACTGCACTCCAAGTGCTCCAAGTGGGAGAAGGTGTGCCCTTAAGGCGATGGACGACCGGCCCTCGCGGGCGGGTGTTTCCGCGCTCCGAGAAGCGAGATCGCCCGAGAGATAGCTCGCGGCACGGCTCCGAGATTATTGCAAATAAAACTTCCCGCGACGCGCAGCGTGTGCAGAGGCCAGATGCAGACCCAGAGCGAGGAGACGCTGCGAGTTCGCGCGAGGCTAGGCTCAGTACGGCGAGTTGCAGTTGGAGTTCTCGCGGGGAGTTTTTAACGATTAACGTGACATGAATGAACCCGCCGCACACACGGGGTGCGAGTGTCACACGCTTCACACGTAAAGGCTCGGCTTGCTGCCAGTCAGCTCCCCTATCTGGACGAGATTCGCGCAGGACGGCTGGCGCGAGGCGGCCGAGAAGGAGCAGTCGAAGAAAGCGTCGAAGGAGGAGCTCCGCCCGAGGGAGGCCGAGCCCCGGATGAGCCCCGGCCTGCCCAGCCTGCCGCTGTTGCTGTCGTACCGGTCGTAGACGGGCACCGGGGCGGGCGGGTTCCTCCACGCCTCCTTGTGCCGCTCGACGAGCTCGAGCATCCGCTGGCGCGAGAAGGAGGCGAAGGCGAGGCTCGCCCCGACCACGAGCAGCGCCGCGCCGGCCGTCATCCTCGCCAGCGGCGCCTGCACTGCCTCGCCTACCTCGCCCGCCCCCACGGCGACTCGCTCGAGGCGGAGCAGCACGCCCCTGCCCTCCAGCAGCGCGCCCACCAGCGCATCCGCGAAAGCAGCGCTGGCGTTGGCAGCGGTGCCGTTGGCAGCGATGGCGGTGCTGTTGGCAGGCTCAGAGCCGTTCGACGGGAGCGAGGGGCAGCGCCGCCGGCCGAGCCGGAGCGCGGCGGACAGGCCGGCGCAGTCGAAGTTGAGTGCCGCGGCGGCGCTGCGCGCCTCGCGTCCAAACGAGGACGCGGTTTTGCTGGACGAGTCGGACAGGCCGCTTGCGACGCTGTACGCGACGTCCGCCGCCACAGAGCCATCATCATCATCAGTCTCCTCGACGGCCGGCAACGATGCCAGCACGGCGCGCGCCGGCAGAGACGCGAACTCGCACGCCATTGAGAGTGATGAGCCGGAGGCGTCCACGGCCGCCGACACGGCCGCGTGAGCCGCGCACGCCTCGACCTTGGTGTGACTTCTGCCGTCGGCTACCTCGTACCACGGCGCGAGCCGAGGCGGGACGAGCATCGCGTCGAGGGTTGCGGCGTTGGAGTCGATGGCGTCGGCGGCGATGCGGCCGCCGACGGCGAGCCCGAGGCCGGAGGCGGAGAGAACAAGCACTGCGACGCAGAGCACCAGCACCAGCACCAGGGCTGCGTGGAGAAGGCGGGGAAGTGCCTTGTCGCGCCCCCCGCAGCCGCTGCACCCGCCGCAGCCGCCGCAGCGACCGCAGCTGCTCATACTGCTGCAGCGACCACACACCCCTCCGCCCTGCCCTCCGCCCTGCCCGCCGCCGCCGCGGTATCGACCCGCCGCTCGATCGAGATGCCGCACACTCGCGCGCAAGTCGGCGAACTGCCCGTCGCTGTCTCCAGCCGCAGCCCTGCCCAGCCTTCTCCGCGACCGGACGCCGTGCAGCAGCACGAGCAGCCCGCTCAGCCAGCCGCCGCCGATGGCGACGGCGCACGCGGTGGTGGCGGGGCCGAGGTAGCGCGGCCTCCACGGGAGCGCCTCCTCCACCTCGGAGGCTCCCAGGACGAGCGCTAAACCGCCCGCGGCGAGAACCGCGATCGCGAGCCCGTCGCAGCCGGCAGAGTAGAGCGCGCCCCGCCGCGTGTCGGAGCGCCAGAAGCTGAGCCAGAGGTGGTAGCGGACAAGGGCGGTGCGTGTGACTGCAGCAGCCAGCAGCAGGACGAGCGACGCACTGGCCGCCCTCATCAGCGGCTTGGCCAACTCGTCGAGCTGTGCACACGCCGCCGCCGCAGCCACCTCCTCCTCCCGCACCACCCTCAGCGCGGCGCCGACCTCCTGCGAGGCCCGCCACAGGCCCGCCAGGCTCGCGCGCGGGCGGTCGGGGCCCGCCCCGCACAGGTCGGCGTCGGCGGCGTCGGCGACGGAGGAGAGGTTAATGCACGCCTCGTCCAGGCCGCTCGCCGGCGGAGCGAGCCTCTCCGAGCGGACCGGCCATGACCCGAGGACGGCGCCGGCGAGGTGAAGGTTGGCGGCGAGGCGGAAGCAGCTCACGTCGGCGCTGCCCTCGTGGAGCTGCGCCACCGCCCCGCAGAGCGCCGTCGCGGGGCACGCGCTCGCCGACCGGCAGAGGCTCAGCGCGGCAGTCGCGTTGGCGAGTACCTCTGGCAGCGGGTGGGCAAGGTCGTCGCGGACGTCCCCGCACGCCCAGCCCGCCGCCCCGCTGTACGAGAGGGCGGAGGCGGCGCCCGTGGCGGCAAACAGGGCGAGCGAGACGGCGACGAAGGCGAAGGCGAGTATGTGCAGCAGGAGCATACCCAGGTTAGTCACGGCGCCCGAGCAGCATTCCACGAGCGGAGAGCAGTAGTTGGAGAGCTCTGACGCGGGAAACGCGGCGGCGATCTTGTCGGGGTCGGCGGCGAGATACTGCCGGCGGACCGCGAGCCCGTACAGCGCCACGGCGACGGGAGCCAAGGCAGGCCCGATGACCGCCGCCGCGAGGGCGGTGAAGAGCGACGACGGAGACTGCAGCCCTTTGGACGCCTCGCGCGCCGCGGTGAGGCAGATCGCGGCGGCGGAGATGGCGGCGGCGGAGGCGGCGAGGGCGACGAGTGGCACAGGGCCGGGAGGTGCGAGCCGAGCGGCGCTCGCCAGGAGTTTGCAGCTGTGGCGGAGGCAAGCGTGCATGATTTGAGACGGCTGCATGCACGCCGTTCACACTTTCCCATTTTTGAGACCTCGCGGAGTTGTACATGCATATGACAGCGCGCGACTCCCTGGCCTGGCCAGTCCCGTGCCCAGTGAAGAATTCGTTTGGTTTCGCCTTCTTACGAGAACTCGGTCAAGTACCCACCCAGATCCTTCGTGGTGTACGGGGTGCGGAGGCCGAGGCGCCTCTCTCCAAAGAAGCGAGAGTGTAGCAACCTACTCTCAGGCGACAACTCTAATATCTCGAGACGTCCGCATCTGAACGTGAATGAAGGCGGGGACGATGAGCTGCGGCTCGCGTTTGGGCAGGGGCTGTGGGGCGGCAGACTGCCAGACGACTGGCAGGTGATAGACGCGGAAATGTTCGCGGTGCTGGCTTACCTGCGTAAGATGGTAACGGCGGAGGATGCGGCGGACAGGAGGTGCCTCGTCTTGAGCGACTGCAAGCCCGCGCTACAGCAGATCGAGGCGGCGTACCGAAAAGGCTCTCTCGAGGGGCTCCGGGAGTGGGATCGAGGAGGTTGCCTGGAGGGGATATGCAGATATCGCGCCCAGCTTGAATCCGTCACGTTCCTGTGGGTACCGAGGCAGCCACGCGGGGTGCGCTAGCAACGCCTACGCCGACGCCGCGGCGACGGCATACATGGGGGCCAGCGAGATTGAGGATGCCACCGCCGTCATCCGTGAAGCAGTGAGGACACGCCCGTGCCTATACACGGACCGCCGGAGGACGGCAGACAGAGAGTGGGGGCGGGACGTACTGGACCGGAGGACCTATTACGCCACACGCGGCCACACGAACGAGTGGGTGCGAGGACGGCTCGGCGAGGGGCTCACGGCGGGGTCGCACACGGCAGGGGTGACGGGGCCGCTGTGGAGCGATGTGGTCAGGGGAACGACGAGACACAAATGGGACAAGCGCCAGCGGATCAAGGATCAGCACGGCGAGCGCGAGATTGAATTCGCCGATGTGGATGATCACAACGTGGTGACAAAGACCGTCATAGGAGCGCGGTTGCGGCAGCAGGCGGGGGTGCCACACGGAGCGCACCACGAGAGGATCATGCGGGGAGAGGCGGGGAGAGAGACCCCGGGCGCCGCCACAAGGAGCGAACTCAAGGGCTGCCTCGTCTGTAAGGCCGCGAGGGACGCGGCGAGGAGGGCAGCGCTAAAGCGGGACCCGCTGTGTCTCTTTGACGCCGTTCACGGACCTTGAACAAGAAATTCGGCGAGTTTTGCGGCCGGCCGCACCGTTGGCGTGATGGACTCAATCTCAGCCTTCCAGCCTGAGCTAGATGCGCCTTCGTCCGCGTCGGCGTCGCCCACCCGTGCCTCGTCTCCAGGGTTGCCGCGGCGAACCGAATAGCGCGACATGTCCCTGAGCAAGCTCTTTTGCTCCGCTCTCGGTCCCACAAAACCTCGCGGGCCAACTCCCTTCCGGCAAAACCAAAAGGCTCCGCGGGGGGCGGGCGATGCTGTCCCACGACACCTCGCGAGCGCTATTTGATTCCTGATACGGGCACCCCTCGATCACTCTAACTAGACTTGTGAGTCTTCATGTGACCGCGATGTGAGTCTTCAAGGCGTGAAGCAGATGATGCACGTGGTCTCGCCGCCGAGGGTGGAGGGTGCAAACGCTACTCAAAGCTACCGTCCTCGCCACTCTCGTATCTGCCGGCGCAGGATGTGGCTTGGGAACAGCCGAGTGAAGTCGAGCGCCTCGCCCGTCAGCGGGCTCGTCGACTTGGTCGCGAGCCAGCGCTCGATCGCCGTCCGCTCGTAAGCATGCCCGTCCGCCGCCATCACCGGGTCGCTCATCACCTCGGTTGTGATCGGGCAGATGAAGTCGGGCGGTGGCTCCTCCTCCTCCGCCGAAGGCGGCCTCTCTGCAGCGAAAGAGGACGACGCTTGCTCGTCGGGCGCCCGCCTCTCCTCCTCCAGCCTCGCGCTCTCCTCGAGCGCCGCCGCCGACTCCGCCTCCTCCGCCGCCGCCAGCGCTGCCTCATCCTCGGGCTCCCGCGACGGCCCAGCGCCACCCTTTCCCTTGTTCTTCTTCTTCTTCTTCCCCTTCTTGCTCTCCTTGGCGCGCTCCCCCTCCTCCTTCTCCGCCTCCTCCTCCGCCAGCAGCGCGTCGGCGTGTCGCGCCGCCTCCGCCTCTGCCGCCGCTCTCTCTACCTCCCTCGCCGCCGCCGCCGCCTCCGCCTCTGTGGGCAGGCTGCCCAGTGAGCCGGAAGAGGCCGCGGTCCCCGCTCCCGCTGTCGCCTCGCCCGAGACAGGGCCGCCCGCGCCGCTCGCCGCCGGCTCGCGCCGGCTCGCAGTCATCTCCGCGACGTGCTGCCGGAAGGCCTCGACGCACGCTGCCTGGCCATCCTCCTTGGCATACTGCAGCGCGGTCCGCGCTGCAGTATGCCTCGTAGTGCGCAGCGCCGCGTCTGCGCCCGCCCGCAGCAGGCGGAGCACGATAGCGGGGTGGCCGTAGCTGGCGGCCTGCATCAACGCGGTGCCGCCGCCGCTGTTCTGCTTGTTGATCTCCGCGCCGCGCTGCAGCAGCAGCTCGACCACCCGCTCGTGGCCCTCCTGGGCGGCGAACATCAGCGCGGTGCTGCCGACGCTGCTCTGCAGGTTGATCTCCGCGCCGCGCTGCAGCAGCAGCTCGACCACCCGCTCGTGGCCCTTAGTGGCGGCGATCATCAGCGCGGTGCCGCCGACGCTGCTCTGCAGGTTGACCTCCGCACCGTGCTGAAGCAGCGAGTCGACCGCCCGCTCGTGGCCGTTACTGGCGGCGCACATCAGCGCGGTGCTGCCGTTGCTGTCCTGCTTGTCGACCTCGGCGCCGTGCTGCAGCAGCAAGGCAGCCACCCGCTCGTGGCCCTTAGTGGCGGCGATCATCAGCGCGGTGCCGCCGACGCTGCTCTGCAGGTTGACCTCCGCACCGTGCTGAAGCAGCGAGTCGACCACCCGCTCGTGACCGTGGCTGACGGCGTCCATCAGCGCGGTGCTGCCGACGCTGTTCTGCTTGTTGATCTCCGCGCCGCGCTGCAGCAGCAGCTCGACCACCCACTCGTGGCCCTCCTGGGCGGCTAGCATCAGCGCGGTGCTGCCGACGCTGCTCTGCAGGCTGACCTCCGCACCGTGCTGCAGCAGCAGCTCGACCACCCGCTCGCGACCGTTCTGGGCGGCGAACATCAGCGCGGTGCCGCCGTCGCTGTCGTGCAGGTTGATCTCCACGCCGCCCTGCAGCAGCAGCTCGACCACCCGCTCGTGGCCCTCCTGGGCGGCGAGCATCAGCGCGGTGCTGCCATCGCTGTCTTGACGGTTAATATCCGCCCCACGCCGGAGCAGCAGGTCAACCACCTGCTTGTGGCCGTTGAAGGCGGCGAACATCAGCGCGGTCCAGCCGTCGCCGCGCTGCAGGTTGATCTCCGCGCCGCGCTGCAGCAGCAGCTCGACCACCCGCTCGTGACCGTTAGTGGCGGCGCACATCAGCGCGGTCCCGCCGACGCCGCTCTGCAGGTTGATCTCCGCGCCGCTGTCAAGCCACGCCAGCAGCGCCGCCTCGTCGCCTCGCTCAGCCGCTGTCACGACCTCATCGGTGATTGCCAAGGCACCGCTCAGCTCCACCGCCAGCGACAGATTACCCGGCCGCACCCGCACGCTCTCGCCGCCTCCCTCGAGCGCCACCGCGTATCGCCCGCCCTCAAAGCTCTGAGCCACGCCCCGCTGCCCGTTGAGCTCTGGGCGGGAAGAGAGGCCGCCGAGCACGACTCGCTGCCCGAGCAGCGGCGCGTCCACAGCCACAGCACGAACCATGATAGATGAGCTGAGAAAAGAATTTTCAAACGCAAGAAAAAAATTAACGTAGGCGACGTAAGCCATCTGCTCCAGGTGCCTCCCATCCCTCCCTTGGGTTGTCCGTTTTCTTTCTTTTTCTTTTGGCGCACCAGCTCAGACGCCGTAGCGCGCTGCCATGGTGGCCGCTGCCTTGGGCAGTGGCCGCGGTGGCCGACCCAGGGCTCCTACGCGGCTACAGCCGCGCGCGACCGCTGCCGCTGGCACCGGTCGCGAGGACTCTGGCTCGGCATGCGCGCCACCGGCCGGTGGGCCGCGCTCCGCAGAACGACGCCTGGATGCAAAAGGCATCCTGTGCACGCTTCCGCAGAGCTCGGCCGGCCGGCCGCCGCGATGGGGCGGCGAGCACCTGGAGGCCCCTCCTGGCGCTGCTGCTTCAGCTCGACCGCCGGGCGCGCCGCGAGGCGAGCAGCTGCGAGGAGGCGAGCAGCTGCCTCGCAGCTGCCAGGCGAGCAGCTGCCAGGCGAGCAGCTGCCAGGCGAGCAGCTGCCAGGCGAGCAGCTGCCAGGCGAGCAGCTGCCAGGCGACCTGCTGCGAGGCGACCTGCTGCGAGGCGACGTCTGCCGCCGCGCTGGCCACCCGCTTCCTCGCCAGCCCCTTCTCACTCTCGAGGAGGAGCTCTGCGATGTGCTTGGCGTCAGTCTGGACGACGCCGACGTGGTTGTCCTCCGGGAGGCCCTTCGGCGGGTGGGGAACCAGAGCGAGCTGCGGCGGGCGGGGCCGCGAGGCGGCGGCGAGTGGCGGAGCGTCATGCGATGCGGCGGCTGCCAGGGCTGCGTCCACCCGCGACTCAGGTCCGGGTTTGACCTGGGCGCGCAGTGCGCTTCGTCTCCCTGGGGCAACCCTTTCCCCCTTCGCGATCCCCGCGACTCGTTTGGGCGCAGGGAGTGCGTCCGCGAGTTTGCTGCGCGCCTTCGGGCCAGCCCTGCTTTTGTCGAGCGCGTCCGGCGGGAGCTCGCGGGTTTCTTTCTCGCCTGCTGTTGCTCCTCTTGCTCGGACCCCTCGAAGCGCCGACTTTGCCACGGGCACGTCCTCTTCTACATCGCTAATTGCTCGGCCTACGACCTCCGCGCCTTCCTCTCGCCGGATGCCTCTGCCCTGGACGAGGTCACATGGACCACCAAGAACTGGCACGGGCTGCAGATGCAGCGCTTGTCTGTCGTCCTCCACACCGCCGTGGCGTGGCAGACGGTGAACGAGCTAGCGTGCGGGGAGAGCGGCATTGTGCATGGTGCGGAGTGCATTGCCGTTCTTAACGGAGTCGCTTAGGCGGCTCCGGTGGTGAGCCTGTGTGTGTGCCAGTCCGCGCCAGTCTGCGCCCTTGTCGTGCCAGTGTGCTGTGAGAGAGGCTT